GTAGTGTATGTGTAAGCCCAATTTAAGCATATTCATTTCTTCTTAATCTATTGTGACCAAACTGACGGTCTCTGAAGTTTGAAAATTGCATTTAATTAAACTGTAATTATATTGTAAATGCAGTTTATTGCTGATCCCTGCTAAGAGGTGGGGTCTGTTGACTAATTAGGTGACTTTTAAAGAAGGTTGGTTTCCTTGGCTTTTATTAAGGAGTATTAGATTGGCAGGAGTGAATAACTGCCTCACACTCAAAATGTAAATACAGTAAATTAGAGTTTTTTTGTTGTTTTTTTTTCCCAGGTAGGGTAAAAATAACCTGGCATTATGAACAACAGCAGAATGAATTTGTTTATACCCACTCTGAAATCTGTCAATCATTGCAAGCGCAAACACGGCTAACCAAATTGGGTCACTACTGCAATGAGTCTGAGCAGGAACTAACAGCTAACCTCAGTCGGCCAGAATCACTAAAGCAGCATTTGTTCAGCGGAGCTATAAACCAGCAGGGTTTTTACCATGGCACGGCAGGACCTGATGCAAAAAGTCACTGCAGTTTATCTTTTTTTTTTCTTTTTTGGTCACGTTACCCAGGCGACTATGAGTAATCTGCGCGAGCATCAGTCATTTTAATACAGCAGTCAGAGAGCAGATTCACAGTTATTCCTGGTTTATAAATGTTAAATGCGTTTCCTTTTTTATCTTTTTGTTTTGCTATTGTGTATTTTGCAAACAGGCTTGTGCATGTATGGTAAACCTGCTTTGTATTTGACTTTGAAAAGCCATCTTACATTGATTCAGTGCTTAGGAGGCAATTCTGGCTGAAATGCGTTTGGTTCAAATGACTTTATGTTCGTGTTCCAACAGTTAAGCCACTTAGGATCCAGAAAGCAGATTCTCTGAATATTTTCTGTCACACATAGTCTAAATTATTATAGCACCACTTGACTGTTGTCATTCAGTAGATGGAAGCAAGATGAACACAGCAAAATAGAGTTTGTGCGATCTGTTTTTGCCTTTATTACATCTCGCATTTAAGCGTTTCTTTTTTATTATTATAACCAAACTTCCTATCGTTTTCTTGGCGTAGCAGTGAAGGACTGCAGTGCCTCTACTGCTCCTATTACTCTTCTCCTCCTCTACATGTTGTTTTTGATCAATTTAATTCTCTTTGAATTGAGAGCGAGTCGTGTGTTATTATTTTGAGAGTGTTTTGGGTTTCCATAGCACCATCTGACTGACACTACACACCAATATCCAGAAATGATAAATAATGTTTACATAGTTTACATATTTTAATAAAATATGTGCGATGTTTTTCTGCATTGTTTTATTTTTGTGATAATGTGGAGTTTTTTTTGTGTTTTAAGAAAAAAAGAAAAAGGGCAAATAATGATGATATTTGATAACAGAGACGTCCAAGTCCAGACCTGGAGAGGATCTGTGCTGTAACTTTAGATATCAAACCTAAATTAAATAGAGATTGATGACTTTTAGGGAATTCCTCACCTCTATAACGATACAGGGATGCATCCAGAAGTTGAAATGTCACAAAACCCTTTGTTTTTCTTAAAGGTACAGTATAGTGGAGGATGTTCTTTTCCAGGTGGATCATCCAAATAAG